CCCCCGATCCGCCCTTGTTTTGCACCCCTTAGAGAACTGATTGGATTTCCTAAAATGACTATTTGCTACTATCTTTACATTAAGACTTCTCTATATGTACGTACTTATAATTATTATGTGGATTGTTATTTTCATCACAACTTCACTTGAGATAGTTATTTTGGTAAATAACGTATATTACTTTCAAAATGTAGTAACATATTTAATTCTTCATCTTCATTATGAACTTTTGTTCTTGTTTTCCTTCTAATGGTTTTCTGAATCGGTTTTCTATATTCTTAAATGTGTTTCAGGATGGTGTACGTATCTGGACTGTGGGAATACGTTGCTTCATATTCTCTTCTAGCGGCCCATGAGTTCTCATTATTTTTATAGCATAAACGCAGAATATCACATTGTTCGTCATAAGAAAAGGGCATATTTGCAATATATTGCGAAAAGTGATTCGAACTTCAGTCGAATAATTAAATACAATATAGAGCATAAAATACTCGTAACTTTTTTGCCTTGTCGCATTTCAAGGCTACTTTGATTTCTTGCTATTTATAATTTTTAAAACGTAATAACGGAAAAACGGCTAATACAAATATGTATAACCAAAATATATATTTTTGAAATCAGGAAAAAAAATCATTTGCACGTCTAAAAATATATATTTACGGTATTCATTTTTCACGTTAATTTGATTTTCCAGGTTTTATATTTTTATTTTTTTTGTTATATACATTTTCAATAAGATTAAACAACGTTTATGTTGGTCACTTTCACATTTTTTTTTTAAATAAACGATCTAGGGGTAGTGTTAAGTTATGAGGAAACACCCGGTACATATGAAATGTTCAACCTATTAGCTGAAATATCTGAATTCTAAAAACGCGAGCACAAAAAAATTGGATTTGAGACATCGGAAAAATCAGGATATTTTTGTGTCTGATGACGGTTTATGAACCGGCACCTGATCAGTAGGTGTGAAATTTACGTTTTGGTTGACCGAATGCTCAGAATTTCTACACCAAGAAGCAATTAGGAAGTAAAGCAATTTTTAAACTAAAATGTTCAACACTCTTCTATCATTGGCTGAATACTTTGTTTACAGCGTTATTGTTTCTTTGCAGAAAATTCAAATTTGCTTACCATAAAGCCGACCGGTAAGATCGATGTAGCTTATCAGTTTCTTTGCGATGGCATTTCCATTCAGTTTGAGTAGTTGTAGCCGCTTTAATTGCTTTCAAATTAAAACGTGTTTCGTGTTGAAAAAAAAATTCAATTTGTTCATTAATTCTAGTAGTTGCTGAATGCTTTCTGAGCAAAGTTTTAATCCACAATTTACAGGCAATAATTGCGTTTATTTCAATTGCTTTTGCTAACAACACGTCCATAGTAAATAATTTTTTAGGCCAAGCCCACACACTTAAAGTTTAAAAAAGTTCACAGAAACTACTTGTTGTAAGAGGGATTCTTGTGTGGTTCTTCCAAGTTATCTATACGAAATCCTCAACTTTATCGTTAAAAAAATTTATGGCTTCCGCATCTTTGAAATAACGTAGACAAATCAAATTAATTAACTCAAAAGTAATGGCAATGAGGGGCAAAACTGTGAACTGATTCTGAACTGTTCGTAACAATCGCTTATTTCGCAAAAGTTTTGCTGGTAAAAATTGCTTCTGGTATTAATTACCGAAGGTCCAGCTTGCTCTATTTGAAAACAGAGGCACAATTTAGTTCGATTGAAATATCAATTTGATTACTGAAACTTTTTTCATTTGCTCAGTGGGCGACTTTTCAGTATCTTCAATGGCAACTTATGATGATGCAAACTTTATAGGAATAATGGGTTTCATCATCTAAATGAACTCTGAAAGGAATGCATTCATATTAATCGTGATAAAACTTTTACCTATCAAGTTTTCTCGCTTTTAAGCTTGGAAGGTGCTTCTGATTTTCCTCAAGTTACCATAAAAGTACTTTTTCACATTTTACCCAACCAGCCATTTACGATTGATAATGTCTTCGATTAATCACCGACATTGTCTAGTTTTCATGCCTTGCCATCATCCATTTTGCCTTAAAATTTCGACTTTACGCAAAGCAACTAGTTGCTTGATGGTAACTTTTCAACACCAAACCACAATTACCAAATTTTTTCAGATCATGTCAGGTCCAGTTTATTTCCATCCCTACGGACGCAGTCCAGCGATAGTCTTTCTAGCCTGGATTCGATGTTTGTCGACGATGGTCATATCGAAATGAAGATTCCTCATCGAGTCGACAGTCACCACGACATGAAGTATCTTCAGAGCAAAGGCGAGTTTGGTCGAATCGAAAGCCACCCCAACATGAAGTTCCATGGCAAAAATGGCCTGAAGAAGGACTGTGTGATCAACATGGATGGGAAGACCGACAGCGGTCATTTCAGCCGAATAGACAGTCATCTGGATATGAAGACGATGCCCAATATCCATGAGGATGAAGCGGAGAGTTGTCACAGCAGTTGCTTGGAGATGAAAGTCCCAGCCATAAATGTTATAGTACCTGAGCCCGATGAAAATGTGGCTCTTTTAAATGGGGATGTTAGCAATTTGAACCATACCATTCAGGTTGTTTGATAGTAGAACACTGTTAGTCTTAAGTAAGTGATGGTATTTTAATCTTCGACCAAAAGGGCAGCAGATAAAATTATTTCAATTCCTGGGCGAACGCTACGCATCATGATGCTTTTGTAGTGGTTTATTTAGGGTTTGTGGACCACTTTTACCATTAGTTTTATCGATATTCACACATGTAAATAAAGCAGTAGGTAGGTAAATGCCTAACTATAAAGCAAAGATTTGGAACACCAGCTTAGCTCCAAATCACTTCAGTTGAGGTGAGAAACTGCGCCCTGTATTTGTGCTCAATAATGGAGTATTTTAAGTGTTCCTCAGATGGTTTTAACTTTCAACAAAGTGCCTGGAATCTCGAATGGACGCATTGAAAAACGGGTTCTGAGTTTCCGTTGAAAATGTTTTCGTACAACGGAAAATAGCTGAGTAAACTCTGTTGAACCCCATCGGAAAGTAGTACCCATGCAAAAAAAAGTGGTTCAAATGTTATTACTAACCAGGCACTTTACATTTTATAATCGTAAACCCCAGATGTGTTTTTTGGAATGTACCTCCACATTCCGCCCCGATGTATTTTCGTAGTATTATTATGAACTTATGTATTTTCCTCCTTTCTATGTTCTTTTATAGATACATGTTGTTTTCCTCCTGTGGCAATGTTTTTACCTGGTGATGAAACGCTTAATGTAAGTTAGTCGTAAGTGTCTTAGTTACAAAAAGTGATCTTTAAGTTAGGATACTAGTATTTATTTTTCACTGTAATATTAATTATACAATGATCAAAAGACAAACAATTGTCAATTCATTTAAATTCCCCACGTGAACTTTAAAGTTTCTAACATAAAATATTCTAATAGAGAGCAATACCAAATTAATTAACTACATTTTTGAGCGCCGTTTAGATTGGTTTTCTTCGTTGCTCCAACAAGTCTCTCAATGCTCTATTTACCATCCCCTGATGTGTTTGCGATCCCAAATGCCGTTTTCTGACCTGGTGGGTTTCGAATGCTCTAAATTGAGAAGCAGGCTGGATATAGCACAGTTCGCCAGAACTTTTATAAGTACATGGTCCCCTTGTTTCGTTATCATTTTGGCAAATGTCCGTTAAATTATAGGTGATGCAAATGCCTCCATTGTCAGCGGCACAGCTCCCAACTAAAGTAAAAATATTAATTAAAAGCTCAGTTTTAAATTTGCTTTTTATAGCATCAAATTACCTAGACACGTGTAGGAAATAATTAATATCAAAATTTGTGAATAAATTACATGTTTATTCAGACACCATATTTTAACATTTTTCGCGGATAAGCGAGTCAAATTCGTTGGTTTTGGGGAATTAAAAATACAATAAAAGTGAAAATCTGTACATAAAACATAATAAACAGTACAAAGGGTAGGTAATGTAAAGTTGAAGAGGATGATCAAAGACAAGGTTAATATAAGTGCAGCAAAGTAAGTTACAATTGAACAACAATTCGGCAGAACTCTTCAACTTTAATTAAGAAAATCTGAAATAAGCAAAAAAATGGCCATTTTCAATATGCATATTAATCAACTGTAGAATTTGATAAACGCCTTATTTAGACGAATTGAAGTAAATGTAGTGTTTGAGACCCAAAAGAAAGCAGTGGCAGTTTGGGATGTTTCATTATTTAATTTATTCATATTATTACCATCTATTATATTACATTATTTAATTTAATTAATTATTTTCCATAGCATTAATTCCCTATTCATCCTAAAAATAAATTGTCAAAAACGCAAAAATCAAAAATAAAAACATCTTCATTTGTGTAGTAAATTTGATGTATTCAACTGAACATTGTGTACACATCCATCTATCGACTCTATTCAAAGTTATTATTACCGATGTAGTCAATTCGCGATTTTTTAAGTTTGAATGGCAACTTTTATTTATTTTATGGTGTTAATGCAAAGTTTTTTGGCCACTGTAGTCAACCCAGAGATTTGCAGTCAATTTTACTTTACCACAAATTATATACGATTTTTTGTATTTACAAATTTTACAGCACTTTCGAGTTTAATAAATTATCATTGTTATTATTTTATTTATTATCAGTTGAAACCATTGCTTCGAATAGTAAATTCATTATCATTAAATTGCTCGAAATTTTTTTACATTTGGAAGAAAATTGAAGCAAATGGGATGAAAATAGTCAAAGTAATAAATCTTCCACAAAATGTATGCTTTTTCAACAATTTCTACACAATTTGATACGGCAATTCAAAAATGTATTTGGATGTTTTTAAGAATAACACTTGTTTCAGTTACTTCCTACCAGCGGGTTGAGTTACGTGTTTGGGTATATTCTTGTTGCGTAGAAAAGTTCTTCAGTGTACAGAAAATTATTCAAAAATTCTTATTAGTTAAGTTTTAAAATAATTTATTAAACGATTATTTCAGGATTACGCCTCTTAGATTTAAATAGTTCGCTCTGTATAACTAAAACTGTTCATATAAAAATGAAAGCAAATAACTAACTAAAATAAATATTCAACCCTCAATTACAATTATGACTACTTACCAATTAAGACGCAGAGTACAATTGGGAAGAATAGCGCTAGTTGAAAATGCATTTTGCAGTTTTCTTGTTATTTGTAGGTAGCACTTCGTCCAGGTACGTATAAAACGGCAGCTTTTTTATTAATTGCTGCTGGTTTTTTCAGATGGCTTTTATATGTCGTTTTATGTACCTATTGATATAAATCATAGCCATAACAATGGCAACAGATAGGCGCTGTTCTGATTTCTTGGATAAATATCTATATTCGGGAACAGAATTGAATACTCAGAAATTTCTGACGTATTACACATTTTTTTTCGAACAGTTCCGATTTACGTTGATCCAAATATTGAGGTTTTATAGGGATTAAAATCAAACAGGTACTTGAATTGCCCATTTAATATTAATTGTGATTAATCGAGTTGATCGACTTTTGAAAAATCACTGTGAAACACACAAGTGATTACCAGATAGAGGGTGACTCAAATTAAGCGTTTAAAATAAAAAAAAAAACACTTAAAATTTACAGGGCGTTTGGCATAAATCAGCACTATTGACAAGAGTTAGAACATTTTTCGTATGATTTTTTTAGTTTCTCTTAAATTATTTCCTTGGCACTTTTTTAACATGCTTATTAGTTTTTTAACAAGAAGACATATTTAAAAAAAGCGCTGCATTTTTTATTAGAATATATTATATTTAATTAGAAGTGGCTTAAGATTAATATTTTTTCAGAAACTACTAATGCTTCGAACATGTTTTATTCATGCCGTAAAAGCGCGGTTCTTTCTTACCTCTGTAATTTTTCAAATACATTTTCAAAAGTTATTAGAAACGGTTTTCTACAAATTTAGGAGAACTGAGAAGCTTACATTACCGAAGTAGAGCCTCTCAAAGCTCAAAACTGAAACCTTTGAAAAGGTTTCAGTTCTGATTTATGATTTTATATAAATAACTTCCATTTAAAAGTGTCCAATTTGGCCCACCCTGTACATTGCAGAATTCTAGGTAATTCGTTAGTTTCATAGCTACTGACATATTCAGTATTACGTGAATTTCTGGATATTCATTCGCACCATATTTGTTCTCAGTGTTGCGGAAATGTTCATTTTCCTATCAAAATATATCCATAGGCTTAATGGAATGTAGCTACTTTACATTGAATGAATAGAACGATCACGTGTATTTATTATATACTATATCATATATATTATATCATTGATGGATCCAAAACTGGAAATAATCGGATATTTTGCTTTGTTTTCCAACGGTAAATTAACAACTCAAGTCGAAAATTCCGGAAAATTGAAATTTCAGAAAAGTTTTGAAAACACTTTTTGAGTGCACCTTTTGAGAGTTTTTGTAAAAGGTCAAAATCAAGGCCTGCATGCCGCTGACTGCTAAGCGCAAAGTAGGGTTTTTATGGGAAAATATGCATTTTTTCAACTGAAATCGATTTTGATAATATTCCTTAATACAAACATCTCAAATTTTTGTAACGGGATATTATAAAACCATAGTTTTTGAGGCGAATTTCTATTAATTTTGAGTGTAGATTAACATTCTTAAAAAGTCGCATATCGTTAATAATTGCTGCTCTTAGCAAAATTTATTTGCAATTGCGTTGCGCTACAAATAATGTTTTGTTAATTTTTATAAAATTTTAATTACAATAATTAAGGTATTTTTCTAGTTTTTATCAGGCACCATATAGATAATCTCTTCAATAACGACATTTCTTAGTGGTTTTTGTTGTGAAAATGCGGTTTGGGACCACTTGGTACCATACTTTAATATCTTGTCGAAAAGTAGTGATTTTTAATCATAATATATTTAATATAATAAATTATTTAAGTGAGCAAAAATCGCATTTTCACAAGAAACACTATTAAGAAAAGTTGTTAGTGGGGGAGCTGTCTGTAAGGCGAGCATAATACTATCTTCAAACAGTTTTAAAAACTGAAAAATCATAAAATTTATTAAACACCCTGTATATTTCAATAGAACGAAATCTAGCTCTGTCTTTCTCTACGCGTATATCTATTACTTTTTATGCAAATAGTAGTTGTGGATGCACCATGGCAACATTGTTTTGGTAACTGTTGTTGTCAGTTTTGTGTCAGTGGTGTTGTAAAAAATAAGAAAACTTTGTGGGTTAATCCACACCCGGTAATATTTAGCTAAAAATTTCAGCTAAATATAAAGTAATTAATCAAAAAACCCTGTAATCCCACTGATTACATAGCTAATTCGACGTTAGCTAACTCAAATCAGGATTTCTTGACTTTGTCATCGTAAAAACCCGAAAAAACCTGCAGCCCCCTTAACACTACGTGTTTTAAATAACTTAAAATGAATAGTGTAGAGAATCAGCTTTTGCAAGTCACGCAAGCCCTAGAAAAGCAAGTGGATGCCACAATTGAAAAGATAGACAATTTGGATGTCAACGATCTTGAGCAGCTTCGAAAGAACCGGATAAAGGAACTGCAAAAGCAGGAAGAAAAGAAACGAGAATGGTTGAAAAACGATCATGGAAACTATGACGAGCTGCCTGAAGAACAACGGTTCTTTGATGTTATCAAAAAGTCCGATAACATTGTGTTGCACTTCTACACAAATACCTCTGAAAGGTCTAAAATTGTCGACATGCATTTGAAAGCCCTCGCACCCAAACACATCGAGGCTCGATTCACAAAGTTGAATGCCGAAAAATGTCCATTCCTATCGGAAAAGTTAAAGATTAAGGTGCACATCGGTCTGGTAGAAATTTAACTTTATAACACAGTTTGCCTGCAGGTCATCCCAACGATTGTTCTAATCCAAAAGACAATTTTGGTGGATAAAATAATTGGATTCACCGAGCTGGGAAATAGGGATGATTTTACCACAGAAGTGTTAGAATGGAGAATAGCGCAAAATGGTATAATTAATTATGAAGGAGACTTGAGTGCTCCCCCAGACCAACAAGTCATCAAAAAGTCTCGTAGTAAGTAGCCCATAGCGGTTGTATTTTATTTATAAGCTCCAACGCTGTTTGCATTCTCGAAGCGACGGTCAAAAAAAATTATTCGCGACTTAAAATTATATCTATGCTCACTGGGCATCAAATGATCTCACTAAATATTATTAGATACTAAACTACAGTCGGTATTTAAGAAAAGTTCTCATATTTGACGCATTGTAGACTACGGCAAAAAAATTAGAGACAGTTCTTACAACCGTGATGATGAGGACTTGGATATTGAGGAAGATGGTCTGAAAGCTGATAATCTGAAATCAGATTATTTGGCTATGCCAACACAATCCACTGAGCTAACTGCTGACGAATTAGCGGAACTTATGAATTAATTAAATTATTTGTACTGTTTCTTAATAATTTACGTTTGAGAGTTTTTTTTATTATATTAACGATTTTTGCTAATATTAAAAATGCATTTTGTATGTTTGTAATGCTATATACTGAAATAACTACCAGTTGGGAACTCTGTATGAACTGTAAAAATTAATTCCCATGCTGGACCAGATTACACGCCTAACGTATAGACCTGTGGCTATTATTTACAACCTCTTTCCAATCGGGAATGTTAGCAATGTTTATTTAATTCTTTAATAAGTAAAATTTAATTGGAACAAATAAAATAGTTCCTTAGGAAGTTTATGACAAATATATTACTTATATTATTCCGTACAGATAATACTTAAAATATACAAAAGCGATGTTTTGTTATAATTAGGCTTCCACTGCCACTCGTTCCGTGGCGGCGGGGGACTTTTTGGCTTTCTCTGAAATACTCGACTTAATCTAATAACCGGGTAATTCCTCAGCTATCTTACCTTTCTTAACACGTTTAGCAACCTCTTCTGCAGAAGCCGGTTCCTCATTTCCTACAACATCATCTAATGGTACTTCAGGCATTTGCTCCTTCAGTATTTGAGCCAATTCGTCTTCTACAGCGTCTTCATCTTCTTGTGTCAAACCTCCACTAAGTAAACTGGATATTTCCTGAAACGACCAATGATATAAAAACGTAATTGTTGGGTATCCACATTCCTACATCTTGTTTTTCTTTCGCTTCTCTAGTTTCGTCCAGTATCCTCTCAATGTCTTCGATATTAATAGCTTGATTCACTTTCTTCAGTGCCTCATTTCCTTGCTTCAAGCCCTCGACAACTTCCAGTTCTATTTGGGTAAACTCGATGTCATGAGTCAGTTTTTCAAGGTTCTCTAGTTGGTTATCAGTTTTTACTAAAAGTTGTTCCTGATAGCGTTTTTTCTTTAGTAACAACAGAGCTCGACTGGAACATTACTGACATTAGTGGGAGTTAAGACTTGAATTTACTTACTCACTCCTTCTGGCCTTTTTTGAGCAATTGCTTGGCTAATTCTCGGTCAGAGGATAATGTGAGTTCTATTCGCTTTTGGTATTGCTTCAATTTATCCCTTTGCTGTTTCAGTTGCTAAAATATTTACGAGTAAGGACATTTGGGTACTTGATTTCGAATAGTTACCAAAACTGCCTTATCCTGTGCGGTTACTCGACTTCGGGGTTTCTTTTTTCCAAATATGCCTCCCATTTTTAAATATTGTCCCCAATAAACCCACAACTTAAATCCTACATGACTTCAAAATTGGGATGACATGTTATGACAAATAATGTGAGGTTATAGAACAGGCTAAATTAAAAATTACATTAAAAAATTGCATTTAAGTAAATAGGGCCCCTATTTCAATTGAAAGATTAAGATAATGTTAGATAGATTTTTGGGAAACCCTAAGTACGAATTACACACTTTATTAATCTTGAAAATAGAACTAGACAAGAACGAGTATAGTACCAATAAATCTCAACTAACATATGTTAAACAGTGAGGGAAGAAGTAGAGTGAGGTTAGTAGTATCAGAGAGTTTGTTATGAAGCATTTGAAAAATTTGTGTTGAACATTTTTTTTTATATTGCTCACTATGGTTGCATCTACAGACCTTGGATTTTTTCTCCCTGGAGAAGTAATTAAAGATATAGAATCCAAAGACAAGTATACCATAATAGGCCCTGGACTGCGAAGAAATGAAGAAGACCCCAATAGCCTCGTAGCTACTCAGGCCGGGAGACTTACGTTTAGAGCTCCTAACACCTACTGGATAGAAAGCCGAAGAAATCGATACATCCCGAAAAAGGGAGATTTAGTAGTGGGCGTAGTTACAAAAAAATCTGGCGATATACTAAAAGTGGATATAGGATGTGCAGAATTTGCTTGGCTCTCTTTGCTGGCGTTCGAAGGCTCCACTAAGAAAATGAAGCCTAATGTGAACGTGGGAGATTTAATATACGCCAAACTTTTGAATGCTCATAAAGAAATGGAACCTGAACTAGTGTGTGTTGACCAATATTACAAAAGTGGACGTTTAGGTGTTCTTCCTAACGAAGGTGTTCTGATAAATATCACGTTGAGGCTTACTCATACCTTGTTGAATGCGGAAAATCCTCTTTTGCGGACCATGGCCAAGAAATTTCCGTACGAAATTGTTATTGGTGTTAATGGAAAAGTGTGGATTAAAGCAAACCAGGCCAAAGACGTGTTGACCTTATGTAAGGCATTTGAAGCCGCAGAACTTGAAAGTGAAAAAAGTATAATTGAAGCTTGTAGACAACATAAATAAATAAAAGAAGGTTGATTATTCTAATCGTATTTAGGTTTATATGCCCAGTGATAAATGTTGCCATGCATGATTTTGAAAGCATTAATTCTTTGTTGTCACGCTTTAAAACTTGAGACTAATTTTACAAATTTCTGGCATTTAGGGGACTTTTTTTTAATTTGTCATATTTTTTCAATAGTAGTAAGTGACTTGATTTCGAAAAACACACTTGAGGCTGATTTATCGGATGACCTAAATACCTATATTAAAGATAAATTTTAACTGCTCTTTAACTTAAGATATCGTCGGCAAAATATAAACATAACCTATCGAACTTGCGAGTGTTCGGAGAAAATTAACAAAATAACTCGATAACTGCGGCTTACTAATTTATTATGATGAATGTGTAGGAGCCGAAAGAGTTTTTTTTTCGTGCAATGGGAGCGATTGGATCATACGACGCATTACAAGAGTACCATTTAGAGATAAGATAATCATATACTTTCTATGTACATATACATCATTGTTATACACATACATATATTGTCTTGTACACTTTTATTCTGATTTTGTACGAAAATGTCCGGTAAGATTGTTGTAGTGGGTTCATGTATGATAGATTTTGTCAGGTAAGCACCTACAATTATTTTACAGATACATGCAGAGTGTTTGGAACAGGGGCGGATCCAGCTTTCGAGTCAGGGGGGGCTCAAGTAGTAGAAGTTCGGTCTTTTGTTGTCCATGAAATTAGAAAAATTCTCGTTAGTCGTTAAAAAGAAGTCCATGAATCTTTGTGAACGATAATTTTGGATATATTTCCTGAATTAGTATATGTACCATATTTAAAATACGCTTTTATATATGCAGAAATAGAGGCTGTGAAAGTCTTAATTAAGAGAATTTACTGCATACACATTGTTACGGGATTGAGAGTGACCAGCAATATATTTTGCTTTCAGTTTTACCATTCGGGAAGTCAAAATTGGTTTTAATTTTCAATACAAAAACGATGTGGCTAATAAAATTATATCGGCGGCAAAAAATAACTGCGAGTTTTTTGGTCACTCTCTTTGGTATTTCTCTTCTCACGTTCCAGGAAAATTCCGCTCGCGCTCTTTTAGAAGATCCATGGAAGTGCGATGTTTTCAGATGGTCGATGTGCACATTTAGTGCATGCACGGCCTTTACTTTATCGGTTTGAGAATCGTGGTTTTCAATTAGTTAAATTTGTAAACTATTTGACCTCCGTCTATTTGATGCAAGATTGCGCACCCCCAAAGTGTTAAACCAGCCGACATTCTTTAAATGTTTTATATTAGGGAAATGTGTCCAAAATTTACAAACACCCTGTATATATCGGAATACTACTTAACTATTGTAGTTGAAACAATATCAATAATAATACTTCTTAAAAAATTCGTAGTTACGCCCCTAGATTGCCAAGAGCAGGCGAAACCATTCATGGGCATAAATTTGTAACGAATTTCGGAGGCAAAGGTGCCAATCAGTGTGTCGCTGCCGCTAAATTAGGAGCGCAAACGTCTCTAATTGCTAGGGCATGTATATGAATATTTGCCGAAATCTTATTCTGTATATTATGATTTTGCGAATAACATTAACTTTAAGGTCGGAGATGATGTCTGGGGGCCCAAATACATCGCCAATCTTGAATCGCTTCAAGTGAACACTCAATATGTGAAAACAACAGAGAATTCCAGTTCTGGAATTGCTCAAATCAACGTGGCGGATAATGGGATGAATCAGATAATTATTGTCGCGGGCGCCAATCAACGTCTTAATCTAAAAGACATTGAAGACGCTGAAAGTATCATCAGTTCCGCTGATGTTCTGGTGTTACAGTTGGAAACCCCTGTTGAAACTGCTATAAGAGCATTGCAATTGGCTAAAGGGGTAAATTCATTTGAAGTTTACAATCTATTTTTATTCAAAAAAACAAGTCCAAGCTGATCTGAAAATAATTCAAATACGTTTCTAAACAACTATGCCGTTCGGATATAAAAACAGTTTTATTAACTTAAGGACACTTATTAACTGTAAATATGCAAAAATTCAGTGTTCATCTTTCTCTTAGAGAAAATAAAGTAAAGCAAACGAGCTTGGAAATTGTTTTTCGATCCTCAAACTTTGCATTTTTAGCATCTTCTCTGCTATCATAAACTGGTACTTTTTCGGACAGTAAATTTCAATTCATACCGATAAATGTGTTTGAAAGATCGATAAACATTTCCAAATCTTCCGTAATCGCAAAAACCAATCAAAATATAAACCATCCGTATTTATTTCAGGTTTCAATTTTAAATGGCGCACCGGCAATAGAAACATTTAATGAGGAACTTTTGAGATTACCTTCAATATTTTGCGTGAATGAAAGCGAAGCTTCGATATTTTCAGGGCTCCCTGTGAACAACCCTAAGTAGTAAAAATATGTTTAGAAAAATGCCATAAAATGCAATATTTGTTCTTATAGTGAAGCTGAAACGGCTGCCAAAGAGTTAATAGCGAAAGGGTGCCAAAGCGTTCTAATCACCTTAGGCGAAGATGGGGCTATTTTTCTCACAAGTGATCCAAATGTGCCTGTTTTCAAAGCAGACGCTCCTCAAGTCAAAAGTGCTGATACAACAGGGGCTGGAGACGCCTTTATAGGGGCTTTAGCCTTTTGCTTGGCTAATTTGAAGGAATTCTCCATTCAGCAGGCCATTAAAGCCGCATGTATTGTAGCTGCAGACAGTGTTACAAGATTGGGTACTCAGATAAGTTTTCCGGGTGAAGAAATTTTAATCAGAATTGTTTAAATTTGTTTGGATTTTCGAAATATAATACTTTTTCCCACCGAAAATTGAAGCAATTTTTACTAATGCATAACAGCTGCAAATTATTTTCAATAATGAACGAATAACTAAAGAAAAGTTTATTTGGAAATACCCTGTATAGTAAAGAAACATATTTGTGTATGGAAAAGATCGTTTGTGAACGGATATGTAGAATTTTCGGCCCTTTAATATGTTCTAAATTTTAGCAATTATTTAAAAAGAAGTAGATAGTGACTCAGACAACAACACGTACAAATTTCCTTTCTTTGTTGATTAGTTTTATTACCGAACACCCTGTATTAATATTAGATGGCAAATCTTTGTGCTTCCCCTGTAACGCGACGATGTTGCCGCATTTTCACAGCACTTTTATGGATTCTTGGCGTGTCTTGGGTTTTGGTGACATAAATGTTTAGAAGACGGCTGAACCCGCCTAACCTAATTAATTTGAAATACTTTTCCAAACGCTAAAAGAAATCGCTTTTAGTAATGAATAGATCAACTAATTGTATGAACAGACTGAGACGATTCTACAGTGTTAAGACTCCGTTTCAATTAGTCAGCCCTTTAAAAGCTTTAGTGCCGGAAACGCCTTATAAGTCTAAAATTATTAGCCCGAAAGCGCCCCCGAAAGTGAACATTGACGGCGAAACAATAGCCTTACTAGAAAGGTTGTCTTTGGTGGATTGTGCAAATAAGAAGGGCATTGAGACTTTGGAGGCTGCCATCGAATTCGCTGATAAAATCCACCAAGTTGATACTACCGGCGTTGAGCCCCTTATTACAGTCCTGGAAGATTTGTAAGTATCCCCCAGACTAGCAGATGCAGATTATGATTCCACAGGTTTTAGCCCTCTTCGATTAAGGGATGATCAAATTAATGACGGGGACTGCAAAGAGGAAATTTTGAAAAACGCCTGCGTTACCGAAGAAGGCTATTTTGTTGCACCGCCAGGAAATATTCCTCTCAAGAGTAGAGGGGATTTGTTATTTGAAAACGAAAGCAATTCAGTCAAAAATTAAGTACAATGTTCAACTCGATTATTGCCCTAAGTGAAAAGCATGGACTTTTGCGAAAATTTGTATTTCCTAGAATGAAAATTGAACAATTGAAGGTGGGCCCCGTTGGCTATCTGTTGTTGCACCAGTTGAGAAACGAATGGTTCAATCACATGATCATAAATAAAGAAACCAGTGTCTTTATTTCAGATAATGACTTTGAGGGAACTTTTCAATTTGCAAAGCGTCTATGTTTAGATAGGTTGCCATTCGGTATTGCGGAAATAATTCAAAATAAACGAATCAGTAATGAAAATCTGATTCTGGAACATTACGTAGAAAGAATGAATAGCAATGATATTGATTTTGAAGCCTATTTTGGTAATGAAGACAGTTTAACTCTGAAGTGTACCATTTTTACTACTCCAACGAATTCAGTTCCTTTTTTCCATCAGTGGCAACGGGATCGAAGAATATGGTGGCGCAAGGTAAACATTCTGATCATAATTTTTACTCTGTACGCTGTTTTCAGTTAAAAAACTGATAAAATGGCGTTTTAACTCGTTGGCCTCTATTTAACATTCAGATAATGTATAGGGCCCCAACGAAACATTTGGATTTTTCGTATTGATGTTCAGATCTTATTTTGAACACAGTGTATTACATAAAATTGTTTCAGTTTTCCGCAAGTCCAGGCCGGTATTCGGTTACCGACATAAAAACCGAGACAAACAACACACAGACCGTCCAAATCAGGGCTAACTATCCATGGAAATCGCATATTGTTGAAACTTTGGCCTTACATACCGGGCCAAAGTATGTTAGTGAAGCAGATAAGGTATATTCTATTTACCACATCCTGTGTGGCGCTTATGAGATATCTGAGAGTCATTATGCCTTGTAGTTTAAAGATGGGAAGAAGACGATTCCTAGCAGTAGTATAATCAGCACCATTCACTTGAATACTTTGTTTATGAATACTATTTGTGATGCGTATGATGAATCTGAGTATAAAGGAAACAAAAGGGCGTTATTACGATTCCATCGGAAACTTGCTCCTTATAGCATTAGCTTTGCCATAGCGAGTGGAGGAGGTATGAGTTTTCATGGTCGAAGAATATAATTCGTGTATATTTTGGTTTACTTTGTTTTACTAACGTTACTTTATTTTATTCGTAGTTGCTGCCATAGTACAGGAATTAAATGACCTGGCTTTGCATTTAACTGAACAATTCCGCACGAATCATTTATCGACATTATTTTTGCCGAGGTCTTCAAAACTTTCTCTTGAAGCTCAATGGAGGCAGTATGATGAAATGGGGATACCTTATAATGTAGTGTTAAATGAGAGAACACTCAAGGATGGTTTGGTGCATCTTAGAAACAGAGACACAACATTAAAGGTAAGTGTTTCCTGAAGTCTTTCTTTACATGAGTTTTTCCAGTTTTTGCTTATGACTTCTTTGTTAAAAAGTTTGAACTTTATCTTGTCTCTAAATCTGAACGAAATTACGTATCGTGTTCTTTTAATGAAAAAACGCTCTCTTGAAAGATAAAAATCGTTTTAAAGCACTCCAAGTCCGAATAAACCATTTAATTTTACCGCTTTTCAAAACTCTGAGGTAGGAATACATTAATTGATTTTTTTTTGCCCAGGAACAGGTACATGTTAGTGAATTGGTGGCCTACGTGGAGCAACTATTTAAAAACTATTGAGTTTTCAGAAAATAACAAATATATGTCAATTGTTCATTACTTTTTGGTTGTTTTAGCATTGTTTGTCCATATCCTGTTGATCCTTTCAATTTCTCGAGTAGAGTTCAGAGCAAGCGCAGTGGTATTTGGTTTTTTCTACATTAAACACGTCTTGCTATTCATATACTGTATTTGACTTTCACTGGTTTTTGTTTACAAGTTAACAAACAAATACATTGCTGAAACCATGTAGATTTCCCAGGCAAAGCTTTTGCGTGTATTTCTACTGCAAACACCCTTATGCCCTACATTTACGTATTACGCATAGTTTTTGTCTGTTATTTACCTGAACACTACCACAAGCAACTTGGCTAATTACTCTTGAAACAAGTCTTTCACGCTAATTCCTGTGGGTTTTTGCTTATTCTGGGCCTCTTTAAAAGCCAGACTGAGTTTCACGGCTTCGCCTTCTTCCGGTTCTTCCACTGCCTTATTGTACCTGTCTCTGTTAATAATATCTATAGCCTCTTTATATAGCTGTTCTTCTGATACAGATTCATCTCCGTACTGTTCCTTCACTTTCGTGTAGATTTCAATGAATTTTTGCGTTAACGTTGGAGATCTGTTTTCCAACGACACCAAACCGATTTGTTTGTTGTTTCGGTGAAAAATACTAGATAATATTTTACACAGTTAGATTTTTAACTGCGGTTCGAGTCCAAGGTACTTACGCCCGGATTTTGTCTTCAGGATAGAATATATTTCTCAATTGTATATTGGCAACAGGTCTATCAAATCGGGGCTCATCTTTTGGGGGGAATTTCGCATATATATCGTACCAAATCGGGCGGTCATTCCAGTTTAGGGCTTTCGACTGGATCAGCCCCGTTGTTCTAGTGTTGTACGTTTATTAGAAATACAGTTTAATCACGTTAAGGCTGGACTCACCGCGAGAAGATTGTTCCAATTTTCTCTAGTCTCGAACCAGCCATTCTTTGATTTTTAGTTTAATGGGGCAAGGAGTTGAGAAATTATTGTTTTAAAGTGGAAATTGGGTTATCTGCTTCAAAATACGAGGTTATGTGTCATAGTACAGTGTTGCCCTATGCATAGGGGCGTTGCTGTGACGTACAGACACGATAATCAACCAATTGCAGCCAATATTTAGGACGTTTTGCGGTTTTTTTTAGTGGAAATATAAACTTCCATTCAATTTTAAAGATTTTAATCATAAAATCCACATTTCGGAAAAATTAAACGAGCTTCATAAAAATAACAATTTATTTTCTATGATCCAAGAACAACGGTTACGGCCTATAATATATTTTCGGAACGCGTGGACAAGGTACAATTACTTCATTTATTATTATTTAACAGCTAATATCAAGCTAAAATTTGATTTGGAAGTTTAATTTTACACATTACAAAACATTTTCTTCAACCCGCGACAGTTAACTTGGTTTGAATTTTTGATGTATTAATATTAAGTTTAATACATTTTGCAATTTACTTTTTTTGTAACTGTTGCAAGGTGCTTAATATTTGAGGCAATTGTCCCTTATCGTATACTTACTTACTTAGTGTTGGTATCGCACACTTAAAAAAATCATATAAAAAATTGACAATATTTTATTAGACTAAACCATCGTAGTATGACCAAGAGAAGAAAAAGCTTATAAATTTACAAAAACAAACTATTTTGATTAAAGCAAAAAAATGTACAACCTGAAGAGGATATGTGAGGGAATATTTACAATTCAAATTTTTAAACATAAGCTGTAACTGGTCATTCCAGTCAGATATCCTCTCATTAAATAAAATTATTTAGTATCACTTAAAATATACATATTTGAAAATGCTAGGACCACGATTTAGGAAGCTCACTGCCACGTTTCGAACGTAATTATTTACATTATAATTTATTACCTTAGAAAGTAGATTAAAATAATGAAATTAACACTATTTGAAATTTCAGTAGTAGGTACACGCTCCTGAAATCTAGCCATAAGAGGTAAAACGGACACAGACAAGAAAATGTTAAAAAATACTGCTCGATAATAGTAATAATGCAACGAATTTTCAACGGGTTTTAACCTCCTGCAAGACCCCATGAAAAGTAGCTATATCAAATTTCATCTCAAAAAGAGATCCAAATGCCCAAATGTTTATTTACTTTGTCAACTTTACTTTGGTCACCCAATTTACTGAAGGCATTATTTGTCAGTTCCATAAATTTTCCAAAATGCTATTCCTGCTGAATGCCTCTAATAAATGTAATTTATTCCAATGTTCAAATAACACGTCATGTACTACATTCCACAATACACTTGAATAATCTATTGCAATTTAACCAGCTTAATAACAAACCATTTGCGTAATAAATATAACATTATAACTTATAAAAGTATAAAATAAATATAAAACCATTTTCTATAAAGGGGAGAAATAGCGGTAATAAGGCAAAATATACTTTGCAACAAACAAATCATTTTACCGGGGCGGGGCAAAATCATAGGGCTGGCAGTTAAATTTATTTCTGTTCACGTTGAGCCAAACATTTTTTCGAATAGTTCAGAACTCCTAACGGTTTTTTTTCTATTTACACTAATCTCTTCTTATAAATGTTCTCCCACTAAAAACGAAAATAACATATGTCAATATAATTCAGTAAAATGAGGAATAGAAAAAAATCCAAGAAATGTATATTCAAATAAGTCTTTTTAAAGCCTAGTGATATTCATAGCTACAGCTTTTTGCAAAATTCCCGATTTATTTAAATCAGAGAGTTAATTTTGATTATCAAAAATACAGCGAAACCTTTGGACCCTGAAATTAAAAGTAAAATTAATATATACTCACGTAATAGTCTTTTTGTCCGTCGACTTATTCTCAGGCCTGGCCCGGTTCAAAACTTTCAAAAACTCGGAGGTCTTGGCACGCATCCTACTGTGAATGTAAGCCTTTGAACACTTAATATGATAGTGCAAGTAATGTCTAAACATATGTATTAAATTGATAGTGTTGTCTCTGGTATTTTTCGCTGTGTGTCTTGGGAATAGCACAAATGTCACGTAGCCTGTAAAACGATGAAACTACACGTAACCGAATGGTTCACAATGGAATCTTTACTTACCCACATTATTATCCACTTTAGCGTCAGTGTCTTGAAGTTCTCTAGGGGGCTCTCTGTGGCTGAATAAAACCGGGGGCGCAGTATGCGAAGCCCTTAGCCCTTCCTTAAGTTCCTGCATAAATACTTTGCCTATTATTACATCGTCTTCGTCGCGAAATCGCGTTGAAAACACAACGGTTACTCTATCTGCTTTGGCTTCTACATATCTGTAAATAAATTAACGGATATTGAAAAAAAAATGCGAAAATCTTCTTATAGAAACACTTACAATGTTTCATCGTCCCGATAATGAATCACGGCTCTATTTTGGCCCTCATCGCCTGCCACTTGGAAATCAAAGTATTTCTCAAACACCGAAGCAAAACAGTTCCTCTTCAACAGCCCCATCTTTTGAACCACTTCTGTCCAATCTGATGGTATATTATCTAAATCTATGAGACAAGTTACATTGTAGCCACTCTCAGCAGCGGCCATTAAATATGATCCGTACACTCTTTTGAGCAGTTCATCAGCACCATGTTCTTGAAGTTGCTTATAGAACTTTAATGCTATGCTAATCTGCAAAAAACCATGAGGAGTTTTAGGAGACTATTACAGTCATTTTATATACATAGTGAGAATTTTTCTGATTTTAGTTTTAAAAGACTCTCGCGCGGGTTATTTGAATCTCACATTTCCTAAATTTTGGCTGGTGATTCCTCGCAAGTTCCTTGTGGAGTCTAGCGTATTATTCCCTATACGCGCTGAATATAAGTTTCTTCTGGATGGTTTTCCTGGATTGTTCCTCCTATTCTTCGTATATCGTATACCAATAGAACATATAAACACCCCCACTATCGGGTCTAGCGACTAGTTTTTTTGTCCTTCCAGTTTCTTCAGAAGAGCGATTTCGATACAAATTCAAGTGTGGTTTCGTATTTAAAAAACGAGTATTTCTTTATGTCGCTGTAGAAAGTAATAGCAAGCAACGCGGTTTTCCGTATAAAAATGTTAAATCCATCTTTAAAACTCTCGCGCATCCGCATGAAACCACTTATGTAATATATAACATCTATTTCCAACAAAACCAATCTCCTTGCTGACTCATAAATCTTAAGTTTTCCCTTAAAGGCTTGCGTAATTTTCAATTTGCCGGAAGTAAACAGAGACTGCGTTGGCAAGAAAAAGGTAATAAGTTAACGGCAAGAAAGTATTCAGCCAGGAAATTAAAACTGAAATAAAAATACACGTGTTTGATAATGATGTGCAAATATTTCGCGGTTTCCTTGCGGAAATAATCGATATTGCACATGACCGAAAAACATTGCTTTCCCGACACCGCTTAAACTTAAACATTTGTATTTTTGGACGATTTCAAAACATGTTTGCCAAAAACGCAATTAGTCAAAATTTAACTAAGAGATAAATGTATTAAATCCGGAACCAAAGTAAAAACGATGATAGAATGAACGTTCCTCGTTCAAAGTTCATACGTTAGACAATAAATCAACTTTGAACAGCAACCATCATGTATTCATTTCGCATAAAAACAGACAAAACTTTATAAAGCTCGAATAGAAATCGTTCGGAATATTAGGTATGAATCTAATAGAGTAGAATAAACTATATTTAATACCGCCTTGGATGATACAACAGATGGTGCGCGTTTATTAACGACGAAAATCTGAATAACATTCGATATGCAGATGATGCGATGATGATATGATGAGCAACAGCGAGCGATAGTTACAAACACTTATGACATGAATCTTAATATAAATAAGGCTGGGATCGACATATACAAAAACACAGCACAATAACAGTTGGAATTGCTAAAAAATGTACGACTACTTCAGTGGATAGAGCTAAAGTGATGTCTAAGGTTCTAAAACGAAGAGGTACTTAGTAAAAGGAGAATCTACTTGATATACATTTTAACGGTGTAGACGTAACGGATACCCTTGACCCAACTTTCCCTGTAATTGCTAAATAAAAAATAGTTGATTTGAATGGAATGTTCTAATATAAAAGCGGTCTTAAGACTACTAATAAAATGCCTCGCAAATTTAACTGATAAGTACAGATAACAGTTATTTTACCAAATGAGGCACGTATATGTTATGTTCTTATTGCTGTTTACTTACCCTAATCTTAGCTTTATCTCCATTGAGATTAGAAATGTGATATAGAACCCCATCAAAATCGGCCACTGTCACGTCTATGCTCTCGTTTTTTAACCTGGGGACAACATCAATAAATAAATGCCTGCCATTATTCTGGTTTGGGTGTTGAAAGGATGAGTCATTGCGGAACTTCCTGTCTCAGGGCCTTCGCCTGATAGTAAATCAATGAACTTTTACAACAGGAAATGCAGACTAATGTTTATCGGAAACACGAATGCCTCACCCAGCCAAAACCAACCGGCCCATTTTGCTGAATATGAAAAAATCGCCAAAACATCCAACTTACCCGGCTTGCGCATTTTTTATCTTCAACGTAAGCGTATCTTCGACTACCCTGTTATTTATCTCTAATAAAATCATCTTGGAACTCGCTCGAATAAGTACTATTTTGCCAATTTCAGGAAAATAAACCTAGTTTGTCCGACATGGGAGGTGCAGATTGTCAGTCAACGTCAGTAACGTCACTCAAAATGCAAACGTCTTTACTTGGCCGTTGTGGGTAATACAGATTACTGCTTTCGATAGTGGCGGTTTTTTTGTCTTCGAGAATTGAAGGGATTTTCTAATTTTGTTCTATCATCTGCATGGTATAGCGGTCAAAGTGAGCAAAAAAAAATTAATCCACTTGATAAATATTTAATAAAATGAAAATGCGATCTGGTGGTAGCGTTGCCGACGGAAAGATGCCGCCGCCTGCGTATTCTATGGTTCTGACGTGTCAATTTTAAAACGGGTTTTTTGCTCTGAGTACTTTGATGTAGAATTATGTCAAAAGTTTAGTTCGTTAGTTAAAATCCGCCGCAAACCATTACTTTAATCAAATCCCTGATGAAAAACCAGACGTATGTATATAAAGTACGAGGGAGCATCAAATTTAAACGGCACTGACGCGTTTTTTCAACTCTCATCTTAATTTGCAATATTTAAAAAATCATACTATTTTAGTGTTATTATTATATTATTACGTGAAGAGCACTTGCGGTTACTGATTACCTTGTTATTAGTGATGAGCAAAGCAAGAACAAGACCAACACATGGTCCTTGTCAAGAGTTTTTCGACTCTTGTAAAAGTCTTGGTCTTATTCTTGCATACATAGTCTTGGTCTTGGTCTGGCATTTTTTTGAAAGACCAGGCCTAGGAGATTTGAAATTACTCAACAAATCAATTTTGTTTATAATTTAAATATCCTGGTAGACAAATGGTCCTGGGAGAATGCCTCAAAGTTACCTCCTGAACAGATGAGACGGGTGAAAGAAAGTTTTTGCGACCACGTTTATTGACCAATTTTGCAGCTTTCATCAAGCATAAGATCAATATTAACGTAAATTATGTGAGTGTGTGAGACATACCTACATCTCTCGCATCCTGTAATATGTGGTGTCCCCATATCACATATCATTCACTGTATCTAGAAACTAGTTCCGTGTTTCTGTTGGATTTTATTCAAAATAAAAGCATTTTTATAAAGTAGGAAATAAATAAATAAAACTTGAAGTACACGTAACATAAACCTACACGCGACCATCCAATACGTTACAAAACTCATTGGCTTTCAGTAGGGCCTCCTTTTGGATGTCAATCATTTCATTAAGCAAATTCTTCCAATTCGTGGCGTAATGGTTTTTATCGAAACCGTTCTTCTGACTGGCTTTGTACAGATCGCAAGCCATTTTGTGAAAGTACACGCAACTCTCTATAACGTGCCTGTTGCTTTCCAACACCTCCCATTCCATTGAGGAGATATGCAAGCGTCTTTCTTCGTCTTGGAGCATTTCTTCATCGCCTTCGTTTATGTCTTCCGAGATGTCTTCTTCTCCATACATTGCAACGTCGGCTGCGTCGTCTTCAGGGCTATCTGTGGCTATTAGTTCCTTAACTCGGTCTGCATATCTTAGAGTATTCAGGGAATGATCCACAGAGAAATTGCCTGGACTAATCAAAGCTATCATGCAAGTCCTGGACTTTTCGCCAATGAACGAATCGCGAAGAACTTGAGTTAGTTTGCTTCCTCTGAATGGCAAATGGGCGCCTTTTCTCCCCAGAGCTCGAATACATTCCTTCAAAGCCAATAAGCTCTTGTTAATATCAGCACCTTCTATTCGTGTTTGTCTATTCGATTTGTTGGTATCAGCTCCACGTTCGTTACCAGCCAAATCGATCAACGAAAACTTTCCGTCAACATGTTTCGACCCAGATTTGCGAAGAATAATCTGAAACACTGCGTGAGATCGGGATGAATTCGAGTTCGCAGATGTTTGTCCAGAGGTGCGTTCCATGCTGCCTTTTTGAATGAGATCAATTACATCCTCCACTTTTGATACGATCTTTTCCGTCAGTCCAACTACCTGAACTTGCTGTTTTCCGTCTTCCAACACTCGTAGTCTTTGCTTCTTGGCCAGCAAGTCAAAGACAAGTTTACCGTAGATTTCGAAAAAGCTGGCAGATACCATGTAGTTCTTTTGGGCGTATTTCTGATGGTTTAGTAGTTTGAAAACGTCCACTGCCACCAAACCGTAGATGCCATTTCTGAAATTTTGCTGTTTTCCTAGAAGAAATCACGTCTTTAACTTACTTTAACGGAAATATTTTGTTGAAAGTTTTTGAACTACATACGGCGGAAGTTTACTTTTTAAACTGCTGTTGCATTATTATTTCTGCAGTCAAGGCAAAACTGCAATAGAGTTGTTTCACATCTCTGCATGTTTTTTGAATGATTTATTTTGTAATTTAACCAGGACTTAGCAGTAACATTTTTTGAAATAGCATCTTAAAAGTAGAAAACTTCTGCATCTGAGAGGTTCTACTTTACTACCTACATCATTTCAAACAAGCTTCTTGCAGTTGAAAAAAGAGCAAACCCAAAGTGTGTTGTGGAACTTAAAAAACGTTAAAATAAAACATCATTTTACCTCTAAACTCGCCTCCCATGGTATGAGTTTTTCCCGAGCCGGTCTGGCCATAAGCAAAACAAGTGGCCATTCCTCCTTCAAAAATTGTTTTAACCAATGGTTTAGCCGTAAATTTGTAAACGATGTCATTGGAGCAGGAGTCATCAAAAACGTAATCAAATCGAAAGTTTTGATTTTCCAGGTACTTTGTAAGGTCCACCTTATGTTTCGGCTCATGCACGATTAGCTGGTTCTTAGTGTTGACCGTAATAACATCTACCTCTTTCCGCCTGTCTTCCTTATCGTTCAGCGGCCGTTTTCTTACACATACCTACAATGTTTGCAATTTTTTGGGTTTTTGAGGCTGTTTTGGATTGGGAACTGACCGTAATTTGGTTCTCCACTACAGGATCGTGTTCTCTGAGCGGCCGAAAGTCGATACCGTTCCGAAAGTCGCGGATCATTTGAGAAAACTCCCAGTACGGGTTGTTCTGCTCCAGGTGCATGATCAGATCCTTTTGCGCCTTTTCGTCTGCTTGCCGTTGACGGCGCTCGTCTCGATTTTTTGCGATTAATTCCACTTTTTTAGCTGCTTCCGACTTGTAGTCGTAAATCGAGTCTCTTCTTAAGTTTGAGACCTTCTTGTTGGTGGGGGACTTGGGAGGACTCGGAGGGGGTGACGTGGAATCTGTAACAATTTTTTTCAATTTACTTGAAAGAAACAACTCATTTCATTCAATTGTGGCAAATTTTATATCAAGTCTTGGTTAACTGTCGAGGAAGTTGTAGTTCTCGGCGCGATGTCTTTAGAAGACCTTAGAAGACCAAATTATCCGCGGGACTTACCTAAACTTATGCTTTTAATTTTTTTAATTAACTAACTGTTAATTACTAGCAGTTTTGTTGCGGTTTTTGTATTCGAACTTTAAAGGACCACTCAGGAGCACATATTCACAAGCCTTAACAAGAAATGTGAATATTGAGCAGCGCTATTTGACTGATGCTTTGCAGAATTTGACGGCTTTCAAAAATATCAACCTGTAAACTTTTAGAACAGAATATTAAAGGTAAGCAAAACGAGAATCGTGGGGCAACAAAAAAATTATTTTTACGCCTTTTCTTTCTTCTACTCAAGAAGTTTTCTCAACCCTATTTATCGACCTATCAAGCGTCTAAAACACAACAAATCACTTTGATTTATCCTGCATTTTATATGGAAAACCCAATTATTTATTCAGTCTAAATGTTACACTTTATATTCATCGTAACTTTGTCAAATGTACAGGGTGCAAAATAAGGAAGCTTTCTAAGTGCACGAATATAAACACGAATATAAACTGCTGAACAAAATAAATGTTACAGAGTCAGATTTGCCCTAACTTTAGAACTGAATATATTCTAATTGTTCTGGCCGATTTGGTTTCTGTTTGAAGCCTTTTCCAGTCCAATTATTTTCGTCATTAAGTGTTTTTGGAAAAGTTTAGTGCGTCAGATAAAATTCCTACAGGGTGGATAATAAAATAATTCAAACTTGCGGAAAGGATGAGATGGTCCCAGTTGCAAAAAAAATGTATGATTCAACACCAAAGGCATCAACAAAAACTTTATATCTCAAGCTCTCATATTTGCAGGGTGTTAAAAAAAATCGAGTTTTTGGTTTTGCTGCGACATTTTGAATTATTGTCAATGTGCTAATGAATTTTTCCTCTTGGACTGATTTTCGAAATATGGAGCTCGTGTTCATATAGCTAAAGAGCTAAAACTTCATAGGCGACTAATTTTTTCCAAACTGGGAGCATGCCGAATTTAGAGAATTTTTTTATTGTTTCACTTTCTACCGTGTAGGAACTTTATCTGAAGCACTAAATTACTTACTAGGTGAAAAATAATTGGACTAGGAATGGCTTCAAACATAAATCAATAATATAAATGATAAAAGACTGGAAAAAACGAAAAAATTGTACGCATATAAGTAAAAAATCAAATTATTTCTCAAAACCCAAAGAAAAAAAATACGCGTTTTGCGGAAAGCGCACAAAGCAAATATAAATCTTAGAAGAAAACTTACGTTTGTTTAACTTTCTAGTTGCCGTTCTATCGGTCATGGAACTAGCTAATATAAATTAACGTTTATGCTTTAATGGAACATCCTCAAGGATAAATAACTAAATAAAAAACTTAGCACCATGTATGTAGTATGGAAAGGAAAAGTGGTGTGAACAGTTTAGCAAGCACCCACGGCTCCAATTCAAAAGCAATTCTTTAATGCAATCAGGGTTGGCTTCGCTGCGTGTTTTCAGGATTAGTTCGTATAATTTTCTATATATTAGATGATTTTTATTAAACGAATGCGTATTGCATAAACAAAATATTTGTCTCCATTGTGCAATTAGGAGCAAATGGTAATGAAATCAAATTCACTGTGTTTTTTCGCAAAATTAAAGACGAAAAGTGTCCGGTCCTGCACCTGTAGAAATTCAACGAAAAACTCACATTGTGCAAATTATAAAAGATCGAGATCCAATTAGGCAGTGAATTAATACGCGAATCAATATGGCACAAAGCAAGAATATTATAATAAATTTCGTAAATCCGACATGTGAATAATAGTTGGTGTCCTGTCGATATCCTTTATATCTATATAAATTGTTGAAGGTTGCGAGAAATCAATTGAAAATTGCGGAAAAGCGACAAAGCAAAGAAATACATTGAAATATAATGGATACTTGATTATAGAAATAATTGAAATGGTCATTTAAAAATGTATTGTGTTGTACAGTATCACAACATAAAACTATAGATTTCTCATTAAAAAAGAAACTCAATTTTTCTTTTGCATTTTGGTTGCGGTCTAGGTTAACGAGAAATTTAACATTTTGAGACTAATTAGTCAATTTAAATTTACTGTTTAGTCGCAATATTTGATAGTGTACTAAGCGAATCTAAGGCGCTTCCAAATAACATTAAAAATCGAAAATAAAAAAATGAATACAAAATGCGGTTTTGATGCAAATAAAGTTACATTATGCCAAAAAGTGCTTGAACATAATCATCAACTAACATTAAACTTGACTAAAATTCGAATTCATAAAGTATGATTTACTGTTTTAGATAAAACAATTAGGAAAATTTGAAAGAAAACTAACTTTTTAGGAAATGTTATATTTGACAATTTAAATTTTAGATCAAATATAATGTTTGATATGAAACATTATGATTATTATTTATTATAAATTAATTCATACGATTTGAAAAGAAAAAATCACATTTTTGTTAAGTAGCACATTAGGAAATTGCCAATTGCCAATTGGATTCTTAATTTTATTAATTTGAAAAACAAACAGCGGACATGCTTAGGTATACATTTACCTGTAAAAATGAAGATTTTATTAAAACAAATAAATAAGGCTATTATCATGTTGATGTCTTTAATACGAACTTACCGATTCTTAATCTGACTGTAGGTGTGATCCTTATAGAAGGAAGTCTGGAAATATTTGACTTCATATTTACTATGATATTTGTTTAACTTTATCATTAAATCATACTTCATTAAATGATACTGTACTGAAGCGTTGACGATAATGATTCAGACAGAAAACGAGTTTTGAAAATCAAATTGATTTTTTCTATAAAAATAATATCGTTATCACATATGATAAGGGTGACGTCGACTGCAGCACTTGTAGGTATACTATGTAGCAATGCTGATTGATTTTGCGTTTGAAAACTTTTAGCATGGACACTCAAATGAACAGGAAGCAGATTTGGGAAGCAGCCCAACATCTGTGGCTCTATTTCAGAATTTTTGTGCAATAAATACAGCGAATTAAACTTAGAAACATTTTATTTCATGTTACGAGTTAGTAAGAATGCGGAAAGTTCAATAAAATGAAGACAAAATTAATTACTATAATGACGGTTCCACAAATTGCAAAAATAAATTTTGGGAAAAGCTACATTATCTGTTAAATCAACGAAGGTTTATCGTATAACTCACTTTGTATCCTTGAAGCAATATTATTGTGGACATGGCTCCCTCCCATTCTGTGATTGACCTCCTCACTGTTTCTCCCTAGTGGTGTTGGTGATGAGGGTTTGGAGGATCTCTTATTTTCTTCGATGAGGTAGGGAAACATTTTTCCCCCTGTCAAACAGCTTAAATCAGTTTTACGTCACCGGAGAATTCCTAAAGGTTTGTCAGCTTTCCACCTTTTGGGATATTTCATCGGTTCACCTTCACCTTATCATTAAACTTTTTCTTTTTCGTCATTAATAATGGCTTATATTCCCTTATTAGTATATTTTAAGAGCTTCTTTAAGTCAATTAGTACTCGATTGTGCGTTAGCACTTAGGTACTTTACATTTACTTATGGACTGGAAGGCGCCACAGTCCATTTAAGGAAAATTTCACCGATTTATACCTGAACATACAAAGGGAAAGTCGATGGTTGTGAAGAAAATGGGCAAGAAAAATGTATTGATATTTCCACCCGGTATTTTTTTTAAATCTTTAGTTGTATTCAGAAGGTATTTACCATTTGAAGCCGATTTTTTCCATCTCAGAAGGACGTAACAGGAACAACAAATAACGACAATCAGCGTAAACATCATAATGTTATATTGCGATGTGTCCGATATTCTCGACTAACTGATTTTCCTTTAAAACATTATAAGGAAATGGCGTGGGTTCACTCTTAATCGTTGTTAAGCCAAAATAATATTCTTCATGGTCATTATTAGAATCCGTAGTGTCTTATTAGAGTTCATGAATGTATTAAAGTTACCAAACTGCGCAACGAAAAATGCAAATTTTTGTGCATTTTGACTAAGGCTTTTTTTGAGCAATCCCCCACAACTTCCTGCTGTTCTTAAGCACGACTGACAATATATGAAATAATCCATGAATATTGCTTGTTAGTTATCCTAGAATTTATTTTAATCTGTAACTTACCCCCATATAAAATACGCATGACTTTTAACACTTTATCTTCAACCCCAAGGACACTCACATTATCTTCAAAAATCGTAATTTTCAATATATTTACCTTTTCAAATGTTTTTTTGAGTAATTTTCTTTGAAGCAAATTAGGCAATAATCTTGGTGATTATAACTTCACTTACCCATCTTGATTAAGAACACTTTCACACATGGTGTCGCCAATCGCAAAACAATGAACACGTGAAGTATCTAAATCTAGACTGTTTAAAAATAAGCAAGTGAGTCATTACAGTCTTTACCACTGTTTTTAAATATGGTTAATTAAATGGAAAATTACGTGATTTTTTCATGAATTTTTATTACATTGCTACTTCATTTAAATAGCGTCCTTGACTTTTTTCCCTTGGAATTAAACAATTTCTTCTTCATTCTAACGCAACAGTAAGGACAAAAATATAAGCGATTATCAAGATAATAAAAGTTGAATTTGTTGGACGTTTTTAAAAAGTACAAGTCTTTTTATGGAAATAAGTTAAAAACAGGAACATTAAAAATCAAGCGCCGATTAGGTTTTCAAATTAATTTGTTTGTTTAAATTAATGGGAATAAATATTGGCCATTTGCCTGATGCTTTGATGAGAGTTCCAATTTTTTTCAGGAATAAGTTATTAATTTACTATTTTTATTCTAAACGAGACAACACTTGGTAATCTGCTAACAAACAATTGTAAGGAAACAAACTAGGATTCAAACGATTCAGGATATATCGACCAAAAAAATATTTTTTACAAGATGTTCGTATGTTTTCAAGCAAAAGAAAACAAGATTATCAGTATTTTCACGCCAATTAATTTTTCATTTGTTTTAAGTCAATAATTTCCGGTTGATAGCAGGATTTTGTGATTTTTATAGTATTTTATAATTGCTTAAGGCTACTTACCCCTGGTATCGTGTATTAAGATATATTTCCGTAGAAACATTATGCTTTTAAATCACGTCGAAAAACCACCTAATTGTCTTACTTACACTTATCCTTATGCGTTATCAGTGTGTGCGAAGTAAGCTAATATATTAACTATTAAATTAGGCGGAACTATTAGCAAATTTTATGAAGGTAGACATTACCAAATATTAATTTTGTGCAAATTTGAAAGGCAATTTATTAGGTCAGATACATCGAGTTGATCAATCAGGTGCAATTTAACACAAAGCAGAATGTTTTGAGTTCTGATTATTGATCAAACAAAAAGGGGGTTTCGCAGCCAAAGACATTTAATAATTTGGGAAACAGGTTCTGCGAATGATGACTTTAACTAGGTGTTAACGGGACATACAAAATCGATTGACGCAATTGCAGATAAATGGTTTTGCAAATAATGCAGAACATTTTTCGGCCGCAATAATAAACATACTATTTAAGTAATCTATATTTGAAAGCCTATAAATGCATTATAAAATACCCCATGTAGAGTAAAAAGTGGGTCACTAAAAAAATGAGGCAAAAGTTTGCAAATAATTTAGATTAACTTTTCAGTTTCAGCAACTTTAGAATTTCATTTTGAAAATTCAATTGGCAAAACTTTTATAATCATCAATAATTGAAATATTGAATGAATAATGAAAGCAATAGCACAAAAATTGTTACAATTGGAAAATATTGGTTTGGTGTTATGGTTACAAAAATATTTTTATTGATAGTTTTTGAGTTATTTATTATTCTCTACAAAAGCAGTTTTTTTGATAAAGCCCACATTACCGGGTAGAAGGTAGTTTTTATATCAAGCGGGTCTACGCAAAATGCCGCAGAAAATAACTAAAAGGTGGAACCCCACTCTTCCGGTCCTTTTCATAAAAATTATTAAGTATATTTGATGCATTTCGCCTTCTACCGAAAATACCAGGCAAAACATTTGCCCGTCAGGTGAAAACATACTGAACTTCCAGCATTCGACTGCACTGTATAATCGATTTTATATCAGACTTAATCCACAAGTCGGAAGATGGCGAAATCGTACCTATTTTTGAATATTACCTGTTTGCGCTTTAGTAAAAGAATAAATATTGAAGGATTTTTTTAGCTTAAAAAATGCAGCTTGCTGGTTTTTATATTAATTGGACTCAATTAAAAATCTCAAAATGAGCCAACTTTGTGTTCTTGTTTTCGCTTTTCATCTGGCTTTGATATTCACTTGTTCATCAACATGTTTGATTTAGCTGAATTGATTGTTTTTCCTACGCGGACAGTTTTTGCCACGAATTAAGGTTTGTTGATTATTGAAAAACATGCGAACTGAATATAATTAGGGCGTATTAGATTTAACAAAATAACGCAAATTTTTCTATGCGAGAGATTCTTTTCTAAATGAGAAATAGTGCAGGAGAGTGAAAACTGTATGCATTAATATAATCATTTACTATTAAAAGTAACACTTAAAACTAAAAACTGACATTGTTTACGCACAAAATTCTGCGTTTCACACAAATATGTCTTATTCGAAAGCTAATGGTTTCCGAGGTACAGGGTGTCAAACAATTGTTTTTTTAAATAGATTCTTGACCAGTTTTACTGCTGCCAAAAAAAATTATTCGGGGTTTTTTTCCATGCAATTCCATTTCAATGTGAAATATCCCAAAAAACGTGAGAGATGACTTGAATCTTTGTTGGAAATATCGGAGTATGAGATATTGGCATCAAAAAAGCGATATTTTAAGACTCAAAAAATATCTGATGTTTTAAATGGCTTCTAGAAAAAAACCCACAAATATGTTTTTTTGGTAGTAGTAAAACTGGTTAAAATCTGTTCAAAAAAAGCAGAAATTGCATTTACACTTTGTTAATTAACAATTTATTTGTCATTAGTTGAGGTCCATCCTGTATATGACCTACGGATAGAAAACATAGAAAAATGCCTTGGAAGAGAAAGTGGTCAAAGTGAACTCCAGGTGCTTCTCAACCATAGTTTCCATTGAAATTCCTGCACAATCTTGAAACTGGTATCGCGTTGAATAAACCTAATTTAAACTAATAAAATTTAGTATGATTTATAAAAAACTCAAAATCAAACTAGTGAATGATAAAAGATTCCTTCTAGTTTTTTATCATTAGTAAAAATGTCTTCAAATTAAGTTATGTGGGATTTTGAAAGAAACGTTATTTCCGCCCAAAGTCAAAGAACGGATTGTTTAATTATTTTTTGGAGATTTCTCAACTAGATTCTCTTCCAAGGCATTGTTTCTATGTTTTCTATCTGTAGGTCATATACAGGATGGACCTCAACTAATGACAAATAAATTGTAGATAAGTTCTATATTGTTGAGGAATTTAATATTTCAAAACTGAAAATACAATTAGAAGTAAAATTTCAGTAACAAAACCTCATGATATGATTGAAAATACAAACAATGTAATTTATGAAATTCCTTGCGAATGCAATAAATTTTATATAGGAGAAACCTCAAGACCATTACACAAAAGACTCAACGAACACCAATCATACATAAAAAACAGAGAATATCACAAATCACACATTTGTCAACATGCATTTGATAATTGCCATAAAATTCAATGGAATAATTCCACAATTCTAACAAAAGAACAATCCACAAAAAAACGTAAAATTAAAGAAAGCGCACTAATTTTACTAAATCAAAATAATTGTGTTGCTTCATGTTCATTTAATT